AGCCTGTTTGACAGGGCTCTGCTCCTCTAAAAATGGCTCCTCTGAAAGAGCAGCTCTTCTGGAGGAGCTGAAGCCGTCTGAAAAACGTTTGGCAAAACAGCTCCTTCGCACTAGACGACGTGAACCCACAGCAAAGAGCCGCGCGAAGCTTGTTTTTGAGGCTTCTCCCGCACAGGCAAAAAATGGCTCCGACTCTTGACCGACTCCCCATACGGAGCCCTTTCCAAAACAGACGTTTAGCACAGCTCCTGCAGGAGCCAGAACTGAAGCCCCTGCAGAAGCACTACCAAAGAGGCTCTTAATCACACACCTGCTAGATACAATATAATGATCCCGTTAATTTTAATTAATTTGCCACTACACCACCATCCTTATAATAACAAAGACGACGACGACGGTTTCTCCACGCGGATACTCGATTGCTTCGTCGACATCATATCATCCCAACTGTCCATGGATCTGCGATGTATTCGGATATGGATGATCCCAGTTTGATAATGCTGGTTCAGTTATGCTCACGAACACAATTATTAATGCTGATCTGCACGGTGTAAATAAACTAAAATGAAGTAACCAAAGTACCAAACAGAGCTACGCCACAAACTACCACTCCTGATATAATTAATAGAACTCATGAAAGTATATCTAAATGTAAAAAAAAATAGATTTACCTCTCGGAAGATGAGAAAAAATTCAAAAATCTAAAAAGATGCAAAAACATTCTTATCAATTCCTAGATATGTTTTGAAAATTTTCCATAACAAAGTCAAGAGATAAAAGCAGCGTGAATGTATTCGCCATTTAATGTGTGTTGCATTATTGTTGGTTGCATCTCATATTTTTGTTGCCAAGTTTTTAAAACACATTCTGACATTAATTAGAATGTTTTATAATTTTTCTAATTTCTAAACCACAAAATTCTATTTATTGAACCACAAATGTGGTTTCGCCTTTTTGCACCAAACGTCAATAGACAATGCAATTCTTACCCATCTATACTACGTAATAACAACCTTGGAAGTCTGAAACTACAATGTAGACCATATTATTCCAATGAACATACGTCAAGCATTGTTAAAGTACTGCATGGTCCACAATAAAAAAATCTACTACATCATTAGTGTTTTGACGTTCTTCTTTGAGTTGCCTCTCAAATTTTCCGGAGCAACATGCACAGAATTCAAGGCCTCTAAAATTTCCCACATTGACACGTGGGGAATTCACCTGTTTATCCTCTGTTTTAAGTTTCAACCGCTGATAAATATACAAAGCAAATTAGTTTGTTCTCAACAACCAACAGTCCCCAACAATGACTATTTGTTTGTGTTTCTCAACCCACAAATTAGAGTTCCATGTGCTTTAATCTATGCTCTTCTTGTTTGCTAACCAGTTTCCCTTCATAAATATATATTTTCAAACCACAATTTTTTGTACCAATGTATTCTTTCTGAATACCAATCCTTTATGGCTATATGGGAATAACTAGGCATAACATTTTTCGGTTTGAATCATAAAAACTATGATCATGAAAAACTGCTTGAATATAGTTAGATTTGGTTCACCAATCCTTTTATGGCCATATGGTAATAAGTGTGCATTAATTTGTTGACTGAGAGGAAGGCGTGGTTCCATATTCATTCAGCAGAGGGATAGCATTTGTTTCATCCGTTCATTAGCCTATATCCCTTTGCTGTTTAATTTCTTTTTGACAGAGGTCCTTTGACGGTGAGCGCGTGGCTTTTAACCACGTGGTCGTGGGTTCGACCCCCACGGTCGGCGTTCCAGCATTCTAAAAATAACTAGAACACTGTGCGGCGTTGCCGCGCCAAATGGCCCTCCAGCTAGATATGAATAGTCATAATTCTGGATGTTATTGTACATAAAGATATATGGTCGCACGCATATATAAAGTTATGTCATAGTCGAAATTACACTAAAGCTGAATGGTACAAAAATTGAGAATTTGTAGAGCAATCATAAATTGTTGTAATAGCTTACGTCATGCTATCTATGTAGGGGTATTTGCGAAATGATTGTTGATGTTGTAATACACTAATACTCCTAGCAACTGTAAAGGAGAAAAAAATAGAAAAAGAGATGGCTGCCATAGTGCCTTGAAGACTTGAGGGTACTCATAAAACACTAATTTTGAGTACTTTCGTTATTTGCCTTTCATTTGTGCGTGGGATGTCTTAGTTCTCTTCAAATCTGTCATGTGTTTTAATTATGGTTATTATATTTTGAAATTCGTTGCTTGTGGCATAAAGGAAAAAAAAGGAGTTTATCTGAATCACCTCTTGATCATCGTTTGAAGTCTTCCGAATCTCTTCTATTTGTACAGCTGATGTCATTGCATAATGTGGGAAAAAAAATTAACTTTCAGCAGGTATCATCAGAGCTTGATTAACAGCAATTTGACGCCTATTTACCTGCGAATGAAAAGCTTTGTTGACCACGCTATCCAGGAAGCTTGCTATATGAGAATGTTTTTTTGTGGAGCATTAGAGCTTACCGTGTTTAGGTGCTGGATATTTTTTAAGACATTGCAGGTAGTGAAGGCTTGTCTCTGTTTATCCCTTCCCCAGACCCCACTCATGTGGGAGCCTCCGGCACTGGGTCTGCCTTTTTTTTTATTGCAGGTAGTGAAGGTGTTGCCACGCTTTGTTTAATGAGAGTGTATCCAGGCTTGGCTCTGTCAATACTAATCTTCCTTTTGTACGTAATTTTCCTACGTAGATGTGACTTTAGAGTACCCTGCATACATTAATTATCAAATACCATTAGTTTATTGAATACGAAAGTATATATACGGAAGGAAATTAAATTCTTAACAATTTTTAAAGGTCAACAACTTTATGAATTTTATTTGTCTTTATACCAGATACATGGAACATAGCTAAAGACAATGAAATTGTCTGTGTGACATCAAAGGATGGCAGGAGGGGAAACACTACTTAACAGTCAAGAGATGATCCATTAGTACATTTGTCAGTTAATATGTAATAATGGTAGCAGTGAAACCTATTGGGTACATTGCCAGAAATACTTTAGTGCGGTGTGTATTGTTTGCATAATGAAGAAACATTGACAGAAAAAATATGCAGTTATGGGTAAATGTGGTGTATATCCATGTTTAGCATTAATTGATTAACCTATAGGAATGGCAAAAGAAAGTGAGCATCGCAGTCGCTGCTTCCAGAAATTGTTGGATTGCTACTGGCTTCCTCAAATGGGATAGGAACATGGGGTGGCCTCAGTTTGCCATTTAATAAGGAGGCAAAATGTTCATTGCAATCTGCTCTTTCTTAAAACTCTGAATTCGAATACCTGGACACAGAATACCATACGTTATTATGTCAAGATTTGAAGAGAACATGTAACTGTGAAGTTAACACCAATTTGTCTGTATATCAGCAACCTTTTATTTTCGGCGGTAGAGTCCAAAGGGAGAGACTGCAAAACTTAAGTGAGAATATCCCTGGTGGTCGATAATCGGTCAGCAGATCTATCTGTTTCTTAAAATGGAAGTGGCTTCATTCTAAATTCTTTGTTGCCCCATAAAGTCTTCTGAAGGAACCAAAGGAGTTATATTACCTCTTGTTTGTCAAGCCATTTGACCTGAAGGTGAAACAAAAAATATGTATGAAGGCTGGGTATCAAAATAGAAGAAACACACAAATTTGTATTGTAAATTCAAATAACAACTTTTACAAACTATAAGTTTGATTAGGATGTATAAGAAAGAATGTAATTATACTGTCAAGTAAGGATTGTCTCTGGCAGATAAATATAACTTTGTGTTTCAAATGCCAATATGTCACCATGATATTGCTTCAGCTACACTATAATCAAATGTTTGCTGTTTTCAAATTAAGCCAGGGGTATCTCGTAGCTGCAACAGCCAGCGCACCTGTGTTAATACGAAATTTTACCCTTAAAACGATGAATAGGAAACTAAAACTAAAAGTATCTTATAGAACTAATTTTGGCAGACACATTTTTCCAATTGTCATTACATTTTTGTATCTTACTATCGGGCAATTTGGGTTAGTTGTGCATTATCTCAAAGATTGGTTGTGCTGTATGTAAGCAAGAAAGCAGTTGTACTGTATACTAAATTGCTCATATGTGACCATAATAGGTATTCCTTTAGGTGTATGACAATCAAATACTCGTTCTGAAATTAAGCCTACAGCTATCTCACAACTATTTCATATCATCATGGGACAGGCCAATCTTCAGTAAATTAGTAATTTTAGAACTGGGAAATCATGACCAATATGCAAGTATCCAGACCTACCTTTTATCCAGACCTACATTTTTCCAACTGCTAAAAAAATGAAAAGCCATATCTATTGCTGAAACAACCTTTATCCAGGCCTACCTTTTCTGTTGCACAAGCGTACTGAGGAAAATCTTTGACAATGCTCATAGCTCAGGTTGCTTTCCTTCCTTGTTGAGGAACTCCAATTGAGCGATCAGTAGCTTTGCCTGCAATCATGTTATAAATTTGTAATCAAGCATATATCCTATAGAATTAGCACAAACTGAGCACTACTATGATTCTTATCATTTATATATACAGCAGACAAGATTGAACTGATTTTTAGAAGCAATACTTATATAAGCAATGTTAATAATACGGAGTATCTATTGCATTCTTAATTACACACGAGTTGAGGTGTGGAGCCTTACATTGTCATTCTCCGACAGCTTGGTGCTGTTGTTAAATTTGAAGCCTGATGACGAACAGATGGTCTGCATCCAGTGGTGGCAGGCTGGTGCAGGATTTGGAGTGCGCAATGGTGGGTAGGAGAGGACGCGAGGTCCTTGGCGACGGCCTGGGAATGGCCCGGCGTGGTTTGCGCTGGCGCCACTCGCGCCGGCGGCGGTGGGGATTGGTTGGAGATCAGGGGAGCTCCTTAGCGATGCACGGGACGCGGAGGGCCGAGGAGAGCAAGCGCAGGTGGCTGTAGGGGAAGCGGGAGGCGCCAGCGGAGATGTGGAGGCGGAGGCCAACTGGCCGAGGGACAGGTCCGAGACGCCGTCCGGCGCGTCCGCGTCGAGGAAGAGGAAGGCGGCCTGCTAGGCGCGCAGGCAGGGGCCTCAAGGAAGAGAAGGAGCTGATGGCCTCCTCGGCGCGGGGCGACGCCGATGGCGTGGACTGGGTGGTGGTATGCGTTCGGAGGGCGGCGGCCGGTGGCAGGATCCTCGGGGGCACGGGGAAGAGAAGGACTGGAAAGATTTGCGATTGAAATTTTCTCTAGACAGAAACGTCTCTATGAGCAGATCCGATGGTTTGCGGTTCTTTATCGGGAGATCCGACGGATGTCAAGCGATAGATGACGTGGAGGGCTCTTTTGCAAAGACCGCGACGCGGTTCCAGTTTTTAAAGGTGCGCTTTTTTGCATATTCTTTTTTTAAACAAACATCTGTCATGTATCAGCAGCAAATACAACTTTCCAGAAACCATTCCAAAATTCATCCGAGTGCTGTAATCATAACTTTTCCAGATATACAAATACCTATTTTATAAAATAATAATTTGGAGGCTAATGAAAAACAAATTACCAAAACTAAAATGACCTAGACACCACTTTGGATTTTTCAGTTACAAGTTTTAAGCAAATTCCCTAAAGCGTCCTCCAAATTTTAGTTTTTTCTCATTTCTACAAATAATAATCTTTAATCTTTAAACACTATCAAGAATCAAAAACTCAAAAAGAACGTTTAAAGTAATAAAAATTTGAAATACTGAAAACATCGAAAATACCTTGGTCCTTGTAGGACATGATAAACTAAATTATGTTTGTGTTTTTGTTTATATCAAAATCAAATAAAAAGACTCTAAACGAAATAAAAAAACGCTAAAAGAAAGTTAAAAAAAATAAAATTTTGGAATACTTAAATAAACATAAAAAAATACCATGGTCCTTGTAGGACATACAACTTAGAAGGAATTATGCTTCACTACAGCTTGCTGAAACATTATCAATGTCTCGTAGTCCCAAAGTTGGTGTTAGCTTTTCAGGATACATGCCATCTTCATTTCAACGAGCCCTTGTCACAGCTAGTTGAGATTTCTATGGTACGACATTTTTAATGACCATACCTGACATAATTTGGGACCAAAATGCTTACTCTGTTATTAATCATCAAAGTTCTGTTTTAATGTTTTCTATTGTTCTGCTTCTTTTGACAGGTGGCAATTGGCGGCCATTACAGAGGGGCAACAGAAGGGAGATAGATGTATTAGTTTTGTTTTTTCTCACAAATTGTATTATTTCTGAAAAATATGGATAATTATGTTCTTGCTCTTGCTTAGAACTCAAATTATGATTTTGCTCCTGCTTTTTCGACTTTATGTTTTTACCCTTGCTATTTTGAGATGAATGGTCCCTTTGGTTCACTTTACAAGCATGGTTATTGAGTTCATATCCATACTAGATTCTTAATCAATTATGTCTTTCTTTGGAAAAATATAAATAACGATACCATGAATACTTTCGAGTGAAATGCTACGATTATAGATTTGTGCGCTTATGGATAAACATCTAAAATTGTTAAAGAACCATCAAGGCTTTACCTAGTGACGTTGCTAAGTATTAGTAATGTTGCTAAGGATTGCCAACTGGCATTTCTAGCGCCGTTGCCGAGGATGGATTCTATCTCCATACTTGGTAGTGACGCTAAAAATGCCAATAGCGCCCCTGCCCGCGCGCGCGTGCGCTGCCGAGCCGGCCCAGCTCGCCCGCTCTCATACCCGTGCCCCGCTGAAAGCCCTATTTTTGTTTTGAATAATTGATGAAACCTAGGGACCAATCCTTGTGCTAAGTGTGTAGACAAGAAAGGATAGTCCCATACCAAGTGGTGGAGCTAGATGATGGTCATGGTGATGGTGAAGACCAAACTTGAAGATCAAGTGGTCCAACTTGGAAAAGAAGAAAGAGAAAAACAAAAACAAGGTTGATCAAGGCAAAGGTATAAATTAGATTTTTTGTTTTGGCACTCAAGATACCATAGAGGGTGTGAGTGTGTTTTGGATCGATAATCGTACTATGAAGAGGGGAATTCTTTGGCTAAGCGGTTTATCGAGTGTCACTAGGTGACATGATTCTTGCATATGCGTTAGGAACCTAGTGTGCTAACATTTAACCCTTGAAAATACTTAGAAAAATGCTAACACACGAGCACACAAGTTATACACTTAGTGGTTAGCAACTTGGAAGCAAGGGTGAAGATGTTGTTGAGGACTTAGAAAAAGAAAAGAAGAAGAAAGTCCTCGACTGGACCCTGGCACCGGGGTGATTGGACTCACCTAGGGCATGTCCGGTCAGTGTTGAGGCGCGGCCGAGGAGGCCAAGTCTCGACTGGACTTAGCAGAGGAGGCACGACCGGATGCGCAGGGCCTGCGTCCGGTCGAGGTGTGACGTAAGCACTCACGCGAGGACGAACAAAGCGGACGCTGGGGTGCGTCCGATCACCATTGACCTGACTCGTTCGGTCCGAGAAAACAGGCTCTAGATGCTTACTAGAGTCGACCTGACTCTAAGGTGGTGTAGCGCCTGGCCAGCGAGCGGTGCGTCAGGTCGTGGTGCGAAGGAAGTGTGGGAGCGCGCGAGCGGACACTGGGTGACCGTGTCCGATCTCGCCTAGCAGCGTCCGGTCAACATTTAGCCGTTGTGCTGAGTCACTCGACCGTCAAAATCGAGGGACACGTGGCAATGATCCAGTGACCGGACGCTAGGTTTGTTGCGTCCGGTCAGTACGACCGGTGCGTCCGGTCGACGCATAGAGACACCCCTTTGAGCATAACGGCTCTATTTTGTTTGAGGTCTATAAAAGGGTTTTGGCCAACCTTGGGCTCTCTCTCTTGGCAGTTTGACATACTTGACATCCTTGTAAGCCTAAGAAAACACCTCCCACTCATCTTCATCATTGATTCATCATCATAGTGAGATTGGACATGATTTCTAGTGCATTTGCTTAAGTGATTGCATCAAGTGGCACTTGGGGATCGTTGTGGCTGCAAAGTTCTTGTTACTCTTGGTGGTTGCCGCCACCTAGACGGCTTAGAGCAGTGCAGGAGCATCGGCATGAGTTGGTGATTGTTCGTGGCCATCTCTCGGTGATTGTGAGAGGTCTTGTACCTTCCCCGGCGGACGCCGAAAGGTAACTCTAGTGGATTGCTCATGTCATTGAGTTACCTCACTTGTGGATAGGTTCTTGCGGCGTCCATTTGTTGGACTAGATTCGTGCAACACCTATTAGTTGTCGAACCACCAAGTGCACCACAAGACGGTGTTACTTGCAAGCCAAGTTAGCTAGGCCCCTCCCTTAGGCTCATGACCCCTCGATCAGGAGAACTTTCTTTTTTGTATGTGACCTAGCCCCGGACTTTATATAAGGACAGCCAGGGCACCCTTCCTAGGATCATCTTCACAATCTCCGAACACTCGAAGTTTGCATTCGGGCAGTCCATCTCCTAGCTCTAGCTCTCCTACCTCTTCCACCATTCTTGCACCCCCATTATAAGAATTTCAGAGCATTTAAGCGAGGAACATGCACTCGATCATCTCTGAGACTAGATGTAGGGCACTGGCCTGAACCAGTATAATTCCTCGTGTCTTTTGGATGCTACCATCGTCTTCCTGGAGCAGCGCGACATTCGTATAAATTCACTAGTCGGTCTACAAAACACCGATAATATCACACTCGGCCAGTTGTGCAGTGGCATTATTGAAGAACAAGTGGATGAGGATGCTGATCATATTGGAGGTAACTGGCATACAGTATCCAAAAGGAAAGGTTCTTTAAGGAAAAAGAAAACAAACGTTCGCTCTAGTGTTAAATCTAATAAACAAGGTTCAAAATGAAGGCTTATTTTGGAATAGCAGAGGTCTTAGAGACTTGGCAGCTCTTGTGCTCATCACTTAGACTTTTTAGCTATTTTAGAAACACGCAGATATGATTTTTCTGCTTCGGATTTGGACCACTTTTGTAGTGGTAGGGACTTCGTTTGGCATTGGACTTCACCTAGAGGTCAATCAGGTGGAATTTTGTTGAGGTTTAATCTTCAATTTTTTGATATTGGAAATATCACCGTAGGAGACTTTCATATTAAATTTGATGTTAGAAACAAGGACGATGGCTTTCAACAGGCTCTAATTGCAGCTTATGGAGTAGCACAAGATGAGCTCAAAGAAGCCTTCCTTACAGAGATGGTTCAGATTTGTAGTGCAGGTGATAAACCAACGCTCTGAGGGGGTGACTTTAATATTATTAGGAGGCCATCTAAAAAGAATAATGATAGGTACAATGATAGGTGAGGCCTTTTCTTTTTAATGCTTGCATTGAAAGTCTCGATTTGAGAGAATTAGAACTCTCTGGCCGCCGTTTTACATGGGCTAATTCTCTGGAGACATCAACATTTGAAAGGCTAGACAGAGTCTTAGTTAGCATAGACTGGGAACATAAATTCCCTTTAGCGACGGTGCAAGCTCTCACTAGAGATATTTTAGACCATACCCTTTGATGCTAGATTTAGGGACCCCTGTTTTTTGAGGTAATCAACAACCTTTCTAGTTTGAATTGTGCTGGCTCATTAGAGATGGTTTTTATGAACTAGTAGCAGATGTTTAGAATAGTGAGAATAGGGCACAAATTCTTTACAAAGATGGAATACAAGATCAGGCGTACACGCTAATTCTTGAGGGGATGGTGTAGGGTCGAGATGGCGGACTAGAGGGGTGAATAGTTTTTTTCTAAAATTTAATCTCACCGGCTAACCGAAACAAATATGGTGAAAGCATCTAGGCCCCTAGTTGGGTTTTGGTGATTAATGACAATACAAGATTACTATGACTAACGTGTGTTTTGCAGAGACAATTAAGTTAGGTCATGGTAATGGAGATCGATTGGGCAATCATGGATGTCATGCCCCTACGATGGAAATCGTTTCGGTTTTCAAAGGATGGACAACAAGGTTAAGGATGACTAGTTCTAAGTGTCGATTGGAGTTGGAGAGACACTTAGAGTAGTTTAGGACTTTGTTTTTCCTTTGGCCATACTATTAAGGGGGTATGGACGGGTAGCTTGACCTAGGTGAGTCTAGTGAGTTTGGTGTGGTGCACACTTGTTAAAACTAGCACTAGGTAGCTCCTAAATATGCCTAAGATCCTTTGGAGCAAACTTCATTCACATATGATCGAGAGTTGGAAGTGAATGGAGGGTCAAATACTGACCGGACGCTGGC